GATGAGGTCAATCACCAAAACAGCACAACCTCCACCAAAGACCGGGGCACATCCACGGAGAGCCCATGCCGGCGCACGGCAGCCACACAGATGGCCCCAGCCTGCGTTGCCTCGTCCCGGCCGCCCGAGAAGCACCAGGCCACCAGCCAGGCCCCACCACATGGTGCCAGCATCGTGGTGGTAACGAGGGGCCCCGAGGCCCACCGGGACCGCATCCGCTACCAGACGGATGTGAGGCTGGAGGCCACAGAGGAGATCTACCTGACGCCCGTGCAGAAGAACTCGGACCCCCTGGAGACTGACAAGCCGTTCCTGTCTCAGTCCAGTGAGAACCGCATGTCCATCAGCTCTGACATTGACACCTCCGGCTATTCGGCCCTGGCAGGGAAAACCAACCCCTCCATCAGCGAGGAGGACGAGGTGCTGGATTACATGTCCTCCCCTGACAAGACAAACCTGCCCAGGGCCTCCTGTGGTGGCGGGAGTGGTGGCTCCCGGCCAGGGCACAACCTTCAGAGAGCCTCTGTGAGTTCGGACACCAGTGCCCTCTCCTATGACTCTGTCAAATACACGCTGGTGGTAGATGAGAACGTGCAGCTGGAGCTGGTCAGCCTCAAGCAGTGCTACTCAGGCTACAGTGATGAGAGCGACTCGGCCACAGTCTACGACAATTGCATCTCTTCACCCTATGAGTCGGCCATTGGCGAGGAGTATGAGGAGGATGCGCTGAAGCGTGACTCAGTCTGCCTCTCTGAGGACTCCACCCCCGAGGCAGACATCCACTTCTCCAAGAAGTTCCTCAATGTCTTCATGAGTGGTCGAGCACGCTCCTCCAGTGAGTGCAAAGTACTGGGGGGAGGTGGGCTGGTGGTTGCCTGTGTGGGCAGCCCTGCCTGTCTCTGGTACATGCTCAGGACGTAGGAAGCCACCAGCAGACATCAGCCCTAATTCTGCTTGCTGCAGCCTGTGGCTTTGTACCTGGTGGTCCAGGAAGCATGGTGGGGCTTGGAAAAACTGTATGAGTGTCAGTGGGGGTGGCAGTAGAGTTTGAGGCTGCATTGAGGCATGCCCAAGATATGGCCATGCTGAGGGGGAGACTGAGTGAGCTCACAGGGGGCCATCATATTCCTGGCATGCCACACTCCTCTCCAAGCCCAGAAGAGCACTGTTGGCATGCTCCAGCAGGCAGGGTTTCCCGTGGTGTGGCTGGTCCCATGCCTGTGTCACGGCTGTTTGTGTTGGTGCAGGGAGGTCTTGTTCCCAGCAGGGATGATGGGCACCAGCACAGCGGCTCCAGCCATGTCTCTCTGTATTGTGGTGTCACACAGCTTTGTCTTGGATGAGCCATCCTGCAGGAACCCTAGCAGATGGCCTGGCCCATGTCCCTCTCTTGGCTGTGATACTGATTCCTCAATGCTGACATGTCCTACTCTGCCTTTGTCCCCAGGTGCCGAGTCCTTTGGGTTGTTCTCCTGCATGATTAACGGGGAGGAGCAGGAGCAGACTCACCGTGCTGTCTTTAGGTGAGCTTGCAGGCACTGGCAGTGTCCACAGCCTCTATCAGGGGAAGGCTGGTGCTGCACTCCCACCACGGTGGGGCTAGCACAAACTCCAGTTTGTTTCTGGTGTGGGAAGCCCTGGGGAACAAACCTGTGGTCTGTAGCTCGTGCCCTGCCCAGGAGCAGCATTTGCCCAGGCTGCTGCATGGGCAAGACCTCCAAGGACAGTCAGGGCCTCTGAGGAGCAGCTTGGGTGGTGCAATAGGGGATACCCTTGCATTAGGTGCCAGGATGCTGCTGCCTGTTGAGCCCGAACCTCCTCCAGTGCTTTATTTAGAGTGTCAGGTCCCTATGGCTCCCAGGGCACTGCCTGGGTTGGTGGTGAGTGCCCCAGCAGTGTGCCAGTGAGGCCACCAGCACTGCTAGCCAGCCAGCTGCTAGTGCCTCTCTGCCCAGGTTTGTGCCTCGCCACGCGGATGAGCTGGAGCTGGAGGTGGATGATCCTTTGCTGGTGGAGGTGCAGGCAGAAGATTATTGGTATGAGGCCTACAACATGCGCACAGGAGATCGGGGCATCTTCCCTGCCTACTATGCTATTGAAGTCACCAAGGACCCAGACCATGTAACAGGTATCAAACCCCTGTGTGCAGCCTGCTGATGTCCCCAGCTGGTACCACATCCTCCCTGATCTGAGCAGTCTGGTGCTGAGCCAGGGTTGGGGGGCGAGGAGCAAACTGGGCATCCAGCAGGGAACGATGAGCAGGTTCTGCTGTGATGCTGGGAGTTGGTAGCTGGTGTTGAGGGAAGCTTTTCCTGGGTAGGGAAAAGCACAGGGGTGGGAAGGTGGAGACGGGGGTGGATCTCAGCCCACATAGCTGGTCACCAGGGATGATCCCTGCTATGTGCTCTCTCTTCCAGCTCTGGCCAAGAGCAGTGACTGGGTGGACCAGTTTCGGGTGAAGTTCCTTGGCTCTGTGCAGGTTCCCTACCACAAGGGCAATGACGTGCTCTGTGCGGCCATGCAGAAGGTAGTGTCCCACTCCATCCCAGGGAGCGGGAGTGCCTGCTCAGCAGGGCAGAGCCTCAGTGGGGAATCATCACTGCTCACAGTCCCACGGCTTTGTGCCTCTCTCCTACAGATTGCCACCACACGCCGCCTCACTGTGCACTTTAACCCACCCTCCAGCTGCGTCCTGGAGATCAGTGTGCGCGGGGTCAAGATTGCTGTGAAAGCTGACGACTCCAAGGAACACAGCAAGGTAGTGCCCCACTCCCTGCTCATCTCATCCCTTCCCTGATTGCTGCTCTGAACTGGCTCATGCCCTCTGTGCTACAGGCCATGATTGCATGTGAAAATTATGGGTCTCCACCCCATGTCTGAGGGTGTGAGAAACATCAGCAGCAGCATTTTAGGCCCGCAGTTGAGGTCCCCCATGCCTACAAGGCCCCAGCTCTGGCAATACTGCCAGCTGATGCTCTCACAGCTGCCAGGCATTGTCACTGCAGTGGGATGCTGCGAGCTGAGCCGTACCTGGTAATCTGTCAGCTGCTTCTAAACCTTTCTGCTGCTATTTTGAGTGGTGTCCTCCAGATCTGCCCTGTAATCTCTTTATCTGGCAAGGGCAGGCTACTGATTAGCATTCTGCATAAGTAGCCTAGTAAAGCACATTGGGAAGCAGAGGAAAGTGAGGCCTTTGCAGCAAGCTGTTGGGAAACCTCCCTTCCAGCTGAGGGATAGGAGTAGCTCGTGGCTCTGAGTGCTGTAATAGAGCTGGAGTGAGGTTTCTACAAATCTTGCCTATATCTAGAGGATGCCATCAACTTAGCTGCACTGTAGACTTGTATAAATAAGTTTTCATTTCTGGCTGGTACCCTTTGACACCCAGGCTTGAATTGACTTGTTTAGTTCTAGGTTATCCATTCATCTTCTATGTACTAGTGTTTCTGGGAGCCTTTTTAGTGAAGAAGGAGGGCTGTGTGTGCTAGTGAACAGCAGCACTGACTCTAGCCTGAGTACAGTCTGACTCAGGGCCTCCAGGGAAATCCTGCAGGAGCTACTGGCGGTAAAGACAGCTGAGGTGAGAGCCAGCAGGGCTGCCTGGAAAAGCTCCCTTTGTTCAGGTGCTTGGAACAATCCTGAAACTGCTGCTGATAGCAGCTCAGGATTAGTCTCCAATTAATTTCACTCCTCAGTCTCCCAAGTGCATATTTCCAGTGGCCAGAGACCAGCTGCTCTGCAGGGTGATGGGGAGAAAAGCTCTGACAGTTCCCCTCTCTCTCTCTCCCTCAGGTAAACAAGTGTAGCCATTTTTTCCAGCTGAAGAACATTTCTTTTTGTGGGTACCATCCAAAGAACAACAAGTGAGTAGCAAGGAAGTGTAGTGCAGCTCTCAACACTAGTAACTCAGCAGCGAGGCTTTGCTGCCTTCCTGCTCCCTGGGGGTAGCATGGCTGGGGCTAGGAAGGAAAGAAGAGGTTTCCCAGAGCCCTGGTTTGGAGGGCTCTCTGTGAGCCCAGTGCTGCAGCTCTGGTCATGGGCTTTGACATGACCCTGGGGTGGCCACCAAGTTTTTTTGGAGGGGTTTCAGGTCCCAAATCCCTATGCTTAAGGGTGGGTACAACTCAGAGATACTGGGGTACCTATGCCTGCAGGTCTGCTGGTCCAGTCACATCCACTTTTTTGCCCTCAGATATTTTGGGTTTATCACCAAGCACCCTGCTGACCACAGATTTGCCTGTCATGTCTTCGTCTCAGAGGAGTCCACGAAGCCACTGGCGGAGTCTGTAGGGTGAGTCCTGGCTGGGCAGAGAAGGCTGGCTCATAAAGGGCAGGAGGAACAAGACAGCCAGGCTGAATCCTGCCATCTCCCCCTACATGTGGGGCTTGGACCTGGCTCCAGGCTGGCACCTTCTCCTCAAATGAGATGCTTGGCTTGAGGGTCAGGGCTGATAGGACTATGGGCATCATATTCCTGACAGTACTGGAACAAGTGCCAGTGCAAGACTTTGCAGGCAGATGGCTGAAAGTTGTGCACTGAGCAGGGAATCAGAGCAAGGATGGAGACTCTGTGGCTCTGATGGCAGCTCTGGGGCTAATGCAAAAGAGGTCGGGGCTGGGGGGGTCAGACAGGACACAGGGTAAGGAGTGAGGGTCAGGATGGAAACGAGGATCTAGAATTGCCTTGTGGGGAAGCTGCTGCTAAGCTTTGCCTGGTGCTGTGTTGCAGGAGGGCTTTTCAGCAATTCTACAAGGAGTATGTGGAGTATACATGCCCCACAGAGGACATCTACCTGGAGTAGGGGCTGGCACAGGCACCTCCTGCACAGCCAGGGCTGCAATCTCGCCCCTTCCCCGTGTCGTGCATGGACAAGAGCTGCTTTGAGCCTGGAGGAGGAGCGGGCCCGGGGCAGGGCTCCCCGGGGCACGGAGCGCTGCCTCTTTTCGTGACTCCCCTTCCTCGGGCTGGGGGGACGGGAGGGGGGAGGGCTGGACAAATTGTGTTTATTGTACAAAATACTCTTAGTTTATTCTATTGGAGAGGCACCGGCTGGGTGCCCTGCTTGTGAGCAGTTGGTGGGGAGCAGTAGTGTGCTCGTGCCCTTTCCAGCTGCAGGCTGGGGTGACAGCATCTCCTCCTTGTGACCATGGCACAGCTTCCTGTCACATCCATCTGGGGTGACTTTTAATTGCAATGGCAGGGTCAGTCTCTTGCAGTATGATGACACAGCACCTACAGAAAACAAGACTCATATGCTGGCTCCTGCCTGGGAGATGGGATCACCTCCCTGCCAGGCCCTGGGGAGATTGCTGCTGGGCAGGGGTGACAGAGGAAGCCCCAGTATCTCCTCTGCCAGATTCAGAATGAGATGAGACAGCTTTCCCCTGCCTCTGTCCCCATCCCCACCCCTTCCATCTTGTATCCATGCCCTGGGGAGAGAGAAAAATTCCCCTCATACCTCCCTGCAGTAACTATACCCTCGGGAGGGAAGCCTTTCTCTGCCCCTTTCCCCTCTCCCCCAAGTTGCAGGTGGCAGAGGCAGAGCTGGGGATCCCCAGCTCAGTGGGGCTCAGCCCCTGCACAAAGCTGGGTGTCTGCCTGAAATGGGGCAGGGAAGGGCTAAGGCTGCAGGGAGCCGTGTGAAGCAACTGGGAGGTAAAAGAGCTCTCCCGGTCCCTGCAGCCAGTGATCTCTGTGCTTCAGCTGGATCTGCTGTGATGGCAACAACTATTAAATATGATGGTTCCTGGAGCAGAGCTACTGTGATGTTTGTTTCCCACTACAAGGGGTTTGGGCCCTTGTGTCTTCTTTCCCTTGGGACCCCAAGAGGAAATGGAGCTTCTCAGTATTGGTCCAAGAGCTCTGGATGCAATCCTGGGAGGCCAGAGGTCATATGATGATCCAAAGGGACTTGTGGCAGCTATTGCTCCAGCCCTCACCTGCTGGGCTGTGGCAGGCACCGGGGCACGCTGGCTCACAGGTGCCCGTCTTCGTAGTACTCCAGCAAGTCCAGCCCGTCGCGCTTGCTTTTGCGAGCTCTGCGCAGCTCCGCCGCCCGCGCCGGGGCCGCCTGCGTCCTGAAGCGAGGCTGCTTGGGTTTGATGCCGTAATCTGCGGGCGCAGCAGAGGCTGGGCTCGGCTCTGGGACAACCACCCACCTGGGGGCTGAGTGCATGGAAAGAGGGTTCAGAGGGGCGAGGAGAGCACTGTACCATCCACCAGGCCGAAGTGCTTCTGTGGAAGCTCCAGGGGAGCAGAGAAATCCTCAGGAACTGAGTAGCTGCCCCTACAGAGGAAAACAAGGGCCAGGAATGAGCCAAGGTCCTACAGCACTTATCCAGGCTGGCACAAAGAGCTGCTGGCACATGTGCTGCATCTTCCACGCAGTCTGGCCAGCTCTTGAGGCCTGGTGCCACAACTCCCAGCCCATGTCAGGGGCCCTGGGGTACCTGCAGGTACCGGGGCAGGGAGGAGGGGAAGCAGGGAAGTGCCATCACCTCTGGTGCACTGGCTGTGGGAGGGCAGCCCCCAGCAGCAGCGCAAGGAGCAGCAGGCAGCACAGCATGGTGCACACTGACTGGTTCCACTGGTTCCGCAGCAAGGTCACAGAGGAGTCACCCTGGTTGCCCAGGACACCTGCTGGGTGGGGCAGGGGACATGGCCCCTCCCAGGTGCTGCTGTCCCTTCCTACCTTGTCCCCTTCAGGTCATGGGCTGCCTCTGCCTGGGCCCTGCCAGCTGTTGAGCCTTTGTTGTGCTAGTGCGTGTCCCTTCATGTAGTCAGAGCTCCAGGGCCGTCCCTGTCCCTCAGCACCTGCTTGTGCCTTCCTCTCAAACCCTCCAAAAGCAGGCCCTTGCATCTCAACTCGGTACTACTCTGTCCCAGGAGACAACACTGCATCATCTTCCTCTGCTAAAAGACTGAGCAAAGGAGCATAGTTCTTGGTTACGGCTTTTCTGCACTGTTGTTACCATGTTGCAGGGCCTTGCCAGCTGAGGTGGCAACACAGACCCCTCACTGGCAAAGTCCTGTTGTCCCCAGCTGTGGTGGCCCATGAGGCGTCTGTGTGTGGGACTACATTTCCAATGCTGGGTGCTGAGGCAAGAAGGCTGTGATGCCTGCAGCCTGAGAATCCCTCAGGGATGGTTCAGGTAGGAATGTTCCTGATACTTGAGGCACACTTAGGACCCAGACAGCTGCCTGTGGGGCAATCCCGTGCCACCAGCTGACGAACCCTTGGTCTTGGCCAAGGGAGCCTCCCCAGAAGCTCACTGTGCAGACTGGTCCCTCAACTGTCCCCCCATTAGAAAAGACACAGGCCTGTCCTAGGCCCTTTATTAAATGTGGCACAGCAGATTTGCTGAATTAATCACTTCTCTGCCTTTGGCCAAGCCCCTAAGCACTAGCTGGCAGCCATTCTGCAAACCCTTTTAACACACATTAGGTACTAGGAAAGCAGCCTACACGCTGCAGCTCTGTGTACCCCTGGGAACCCCAGGACTGTGGGGACTGAGGCAGGCACTGGGAATTACAGAGGCTATAGTCATCAGCTGAGCAACACGTGGGCCCTGACTGACACAGGCCAGAGCAAAAGGCTTCTAAAGGACAGAATATCCCAGAGTAGACAACTGCAAAAGCTGCTCTTTCTGGCAAAGAGAGACCTGCTGGCAATCAGATACAAGGGATCCCATGCAAAGAGGCAGAGGTTCTTCAGCTCACTTCTCTCCATTCAGTCAGTTTATTTGAGAGACAAATCCGCTCCAAGCAGATAGGCCAGGCATGGCCAACACGAGCAGGTTGTGGGTCAGCCTCAGCACCCTGACATGTGAGACAGTGCTCTCCAAAAAACCACTATGCTGCCTGGCTTTATTATAGCGCAGCTGTACAAAAGAAGAAAAAAATCAAGTGCTTCAAAAAAGAAGTTGCCCCATCACCATCACTGCAGCCACAGAATGGTCCAGAGAAATAGGTTGCCAGGGTCTCCCTACACATTTAGTGTCCATCATTCATGCCTAGATCTGTTAAAAAATTGCATACAACCCCCTCCCTGCTCTGCAGAACAGGAACTTCTCATTTATGATTTAACTGAAAATTAGACGTTATCAACATCCCTCCCCCAGCCTGTTTGCCCTCCTTAGGAATGTCCAGCCATGATTTGAGCAGAGAGTAATCATCTTCTTATCAGCCCCAGTTATAGAAATATATTTTCTGCCAAGCAGGCAAGTAATCCATCAGTGGCCCTGAAACAAGAGAACAGAGGGATCATTTATGAAGAAAGGCAACAATTTAAAGCTGTGTGTCTATGGGGTATATCCCCCACTTCTCATTATAATCCAAACAACCCCAAATCTCCACTTACACAACTCAGATGAACCCAAGAATAAAACAGTTACTTCTGACAAGATGTAAGTCAACACTGCAATGTGGTGTCAGAGATCAGAGCAGGACCAAGAGCGGTGTGAAACATTGTCAGCACAGCCATGGTGTGGGACACCAACCACTCCCTCAGAGCTGACATGTTCAAACTGCAGTGGGAAAGGGGGTCTACAATGTGCAAGGGGAAAACCCACGTGCAGAGAGTCAGAACACTGCTGTGCAGGGAAGAAGTAAGATAACGCAGCAATAGTGAGCAGGTGCAAACATAGAAGCATCTGCTGTAGAGCAAAAATGCTTACATTGCACAGAGCTTAATGCAGGCTCCAAAGCCTCTCTGAAATCACTAACTGGAGGAAGTGGCTCCTGTGCTAGCCAGCTTTGTGACCTCCCCAAAGAAAGAGCCATGATGCCAGGCTGATGTAATGTCACATCACTGCCATGAATCACTCCACAAAAGGATTAACATCATCAGTGGAAGAGTGGAGGGAAATGAAATGCTGGCCTATAATAATAGGATCTTCTGGTGAAGAACTAGAACAGAGACCTGGTTTGGCTGTTTGATTTACAGTCAGTTTCTGCCTGGTTCAGTACTTCCAGGCTCCCATTTATCCCTCATGTCCACACTGCAGACTAGGGATCAAGGAAAGAGTTCAGAACAGGGCTGCAAAGCTGGGGCCCTGGTGTACCATCTGAGGTGCAGAATGGGAGCCCAGGAGAACATGCCTAGGCGGCAGATCTCTGTAGCCTCAGGGCACACAGAGGTTTACTACTGTCATCAAGGCAGGAAGCAATTATCTTTTCCTTCAGCACTTAAAAATTATTCAAGCATCAACACAGGGTGCTCTAGTGCTAACCTCTCTAGGGACTTTCCAATTCCTTCCCCAGATTGGAAACCAATTGATAAATGTTCCCAACTGCCCTCATTTTTTTTCACCAGACAGAAATGGGGATATAACAGTGGGACCTACTTACGTGTGATGAAGCCAACTCCAGGAACATAATCAGCCAACAAGCGCAAAAGGAGGAGGATCCTGCCCCTAGAAATGGAGAGAAAATAAACAAGTTCAGCTGGACATCTTCTGCCCCAGCTGTTGAACACACAAACAGCAATGACAGCTGTTATACAAAGGCTTAGAATAACCTGGTCACAGGCACCCACACATCTTCAGATCTACACACCCAGTCTACTGACGCTATTTCAGTTAAAAGGGAAATTTTTAGCAAAAGCCCAGCAAGGGCACCTTACTCTGAGTATCGGTCATAGAAAGGAGATCTCAGCAGGTAGTACAGCAGCAGGATGGTTCGTCGCCTCAGCTCTGCCCGTTCTCGCCTGTTCAGGTCTTTCAGATCACTCAGCAAACTCAGACTGGAAGGAGGAGGGCAAAGAGCTAAGTCAGAGCAAAAGCAGTCAGCAGGGAAAAGAAAGCAGGTTTCTAAAGCCCTCCGCTCTCAGCTCCACGCAGAGCAGCATGCAACAGCTCAGAAGAGAGAGCACTGTAAGTGTTGTAGAAGATGTGTCAATCTCCAAGCTAAAGACCATTCTGGGTGCATATTTCTCTCAGTAGGGCCTGCCCAGGACTGGGGAATGGGGAAGCGTGATTCCCAGCCACCACCAAATCAAGCACCAGAAAGGCTCTTCAGACTGACCTCGAGATGTCCAGGACTGCCGAGAGGAGCCAGGGCTTCCACGATCTCTGACCCCATACTCCTAAACTCAGAACTAGGAACACACAGTCAAGGAATGAAAAAATGAGAGATTCCTAACAAGAGGCACACAGAGAAGTGACCCCCTGCGTACCCACAAAGTTCTGCCAAGCACAGGCGAATACACCCTAAGGCAGGGCTGGGAGCCCCGGGGAAAGGGGCTGGAGGACTTGCACGCACAGCTCTAGTGGCTGCGGCCAGCCCCAAAGTGTTAGAAGGGGAAGAGGCCCGAGTCCCGTGCCCGAGCAGAGCCGCACAGGGAGCGGAGCTGGCGATCACTGCCCTGCGCCCGGCCGAGCCCGCAGCACCCTCTGCTGGCACCCGGAGCGCTGGGAGCCCGCACGGAGAGCGGCAGGATACGGTGGAGCAGCGGGCGGGTAATGTAGATGGATTCCGCGATGGTTTCTTGGAGACCCAAAGGAGTGGGAAGCTGGTTCATCTCCTCCGCTCTTCGGCTCTGCGATTCCTCCCTCTGCTGGGGGGACCCCCAGTGCCGCGACTGCAGGGACGGGGCTGAAACAAGCAGTCTGGTTACTAACACAAATAAAAGCCTTGTCTCAGGTGGAAACTGCGTATCACATGACTGCTAGCTCATTCCACCTGGTCCTGGAGCCCTTCACCCCCTGCCCCCGGTTGGATGGGGAGAAGAATCAGAAAAAGGTAAAACTCCTGCATTAACACAGAACAGTTTAATAATGGAAATAAAGTAAAACAACAAAAATAGTAACAATAATAACAGTAATGAAAAGGAAGATAACAAAACCCAAGAAACATAAGTGAGTACAACTGCTCACTACCCTCAGACTGATGCTATCCCATTCCCAACCAGTGACTGGCCCCTCCCAGCCAACTCCCCCCGTTTATACAGTGGGCATTCTATGGTATAGAAGATCCCTTTGGCCAGTTCAGGTCACCCATCCTGGCCATGCTCCCTCCCAGCTTTTTGCACATCTCCTCTCTAGCAGAACCCAGGAAACCCAAAAGTCCTTGACTTAGAGTAACTGCTACTTCTCAACAACCTACACTATTAGTTACAATAATGCTATCAAATTATTCTCATACTAAACCCAAAACTCAGCACTGTACCTGTTACCAGGAAGAAAACTAATTCTATCCCAGCCCAAATCAGGACACCTTCCTATCATGTTTCCCTGCTTTCTGCACTGTGAAGGTGTTAAAGAGGAAAGCTTGAAGAGGTACTTGTAAGATCCATGCCCCTCAAAGCATAACCATGATGAAGAGCTGTGTCTGTTGCAGGGCTCACATGGGAAAACATAATTTAGTGCTAGCCTTGCAGCACATCTCTGGTTGCTTTGATACCCCTACCTATCCACAAGTGGCCCAGTAAGTGGCAAGATATGTCCCAATACAAGGTTCTACTCTTTACTGCTCACACCCATGTCATCCATGAAGGCACAGAACAGGAAGAGCTCAGGCTGAAAAACAGGTTCAGTTACTTACTGCTCTGTAGAGAGCGCACAACACGGCTGGAACGCCTGCCAACATAGGTCTGATCCTTCCCTGAGGAGTTGTCTTCCATGCCTGCAGAAGGAAAAAGCCACAGGGGTCAGGCTTCAAAGCAATATATGCTTCACACCCCAGAGCTGCCACCAAGAAGAGCAGATTGAAAGGCTGATTTAGTGCAAACTGGACCATTCTCTGGGGGCTAACAGTAGGCAGTAGGGTAAAAAAGTAAATCAGCCTGACATTGCCCAGGTCTAGGGCCTCTTTCCTTATTACTAGACCAGGGCACGTGCAGCCTGACTCATGGTTCAGCCAGAAAGTCCCAGCTTGGACTTCTCTATCCCCTCTTTCCAGATAGTAGGACAACCCTGCCACTAAGCTAACTCGTCCTCTGCAAAGGCTGGAAAGTTGAACACAGCTCAGCCTTGAGTACAGACACCTTATGGTTCCATGTGCTGCACAAGCCACTGCTCTAATGAGTAATTCTAGCAGGACAAGACGTGTGGCTCAGCAAGGCACCAAGCCAATGATGACAACACCACGGGCTCACCTTGAGGGTGGAGAGGCTGCTGCTTCTCCCTGTTCAGTGGCACAATGGGAGGAGACATCTGGATGCCAGCTTTGTACCACAGCAGGAGCAGGAGACGAAGGATTGCTCTGTGAACAGACATGTGGAAGTCTTCAATACCAGACTATGGAGCTGGGTTCCTGTTACACTGGAGAGATGGTATCCACAGAAGATGGAAACACTCGGGTCTCCTCAGAGCAACTGGCAAGGTGAGAGGTGTAAGTGCTCCCTTCTGTGGCACAGAGTCCAGTACACTGTGGGGCTCCAAATTCCCCCAGCCTCAGGGACTGGCAGCTCAGTCCTGTGTGGGATTTTTTGGAGTGCCCTCCAGGTCCCCTTTCCGAGCGCACGCTGCCCCTTCCCCTCTCCCGCAGCACTTACTTAGCCAGCTGGATGAGGACAATGATGGTCCACCGGCCCATCTCCCCCCACACCCTGGCTGTCCCCATCTCTGCAAAGACCTCCACGCATTCTAGTACACTCAGCCAGGTCAGCAGCTTCTGCTGGGGCAGCGACTGCAAAACACAGAGGGGAGGAGGGGGACAGGATGCAGGTTCTGCTCGGGAGTTAAAGATGGCAGAAACACAGCCCAGTCTGGTGGGACCCTCAGAAATAAGCACCAGATGGCCTTGGAAGTCACAGCTCCAGAAACAAAAAGCAATGTCTTCACTGCAGCTGAAGCCTACACACAAGCCCACCTCTAAGCAGGGGCAGACTGAGACATCACAGTATCACATGGAGTTTCTACTCCAAAAACAGGGAGCACATCACATCTGTGTTTTATATTGCCTCTACCCTAACTGACACAGCAGGATGTGGCACTGGTTGTGGCACTGTTCCTGAGCTCCACAGCAAAACCTCCTCCTCATCCCAGAGCTGAGACACAAGACAACCTCCTCTCTGGACAGAGCTGATGAGGGAGTGTACCTGGAGTAGAGGGAAGGGAACCCAGAGTCCACAGCTACAACTGAGTGAATGCTGGCTGAACACAGCATCAGACTAGATTTCAGGCATGAACCCCAAGACAGTGGGTCCTCTTCCAGTCTAGGTCTCTGCTATCCACATGGGAACTTACTACTGCTGTCAACCACACAGTTTGATCCACTGTGAAGCATCAATAAAGACAATACAGGTGAAATTCTATTCAGTTTTCACCAGGGAAGCAAATCTTGTGCATTTCTGTTTGTTATACCCTGATCCTCCATTCAGGGAGCTGCCGACACCCAACCCACATACTGGGCAGGTTTCTAACAGAAGAGCCTGGAAAAAAACATCCTCTTCCCCATTCCCCAAAGGGTTTAACAATGCTGGGAGCCAGCCTGGGGCTCATGCAAGATAGACGTAGTACCAAGGTGCTTACATTTGTTTTACTCAATACACTATGCAAAGGAAGAGTCTGACAGATGGTATCAAGAGCTTCAGTACTCCAGAGCGACTGCTGTGTAAACAGCAATGGTTTATTCATCAGCACCTCTACCTAGGTCAAGTTCTGAGGTTCTCAAAAAAGCCTGAGGAGCTTCTAGTGCAAGTCAGGGCCTGATTTCTGTGGTCCAGGGAGCGCTCTGGCCACACCTCCAAGCCAGGAGCTAAGGGACAGGGCTGCTGTTTTACTTGCATTCAGAGGTTGCCTCTGGCTTCTCCATACCTGACCGCAAAGAGAGGCCACAGCAAAAACCTGTAAAGTTTCTACAGACACTCCCTGAAAGCTCCTGCAAGGAAGAAAGCATGTGTCCCAAATCCCCCTCCCACACGCTCCAGACTTACCGCTGGCAGGCTTTCCTGCAGGTCCTTTCGGAGAATCCAGTCGTTTAACAGCACTAGGAGGTTGGAGGCAGAGTACACTGGAAAAGTAAGAGAACAGCGCAGAATGGATGCACAGAAAGTATGCCAAATCGGCCCTGCTGTCTCTGTCCCCGACAGGGGATGAGGGAAGAAGGGCAGCAAGATGTGCAGACTTCTCCCAGGATCTGCCTGGGAATGCATGGACAAAAGCAGGGCTCGGGGAGCAAGACCCGCATGCACCCGGGCAAGGGCACAGCACCGGCCCCGACCCGCTGCCCACCTACCCAGCTCCGACAGCGCGTGCGAGTCCGAGAAGCGACCTGCGAAGGGAAGAGAGCGGCTACAGCGAGCGCCCGGAGCCGGGGGAGCCCCCACTCCCCACCGGGTCCCGGTGCCTGCACCCTCCCGGCCTCCAGAGCCCGGCCGGAGGAGGAAGGTTCGCCCGCCTCCCCGCTCCCGCACCTGGCAGCAGGTAGGACAGCCCGCGCACGGTGCCCTCCAGCTGGGCCGTGGCGGCCGGGTGCCGCCTCACGTACTCCTGGTAGCGCTGGCACAGCAGGCGCAGCCGCCACACCGGGCCAGCTCCGCGGGCACGGGCCGAGGCCGCCGCCGCCGCCGCCATGGTGCCGCCGCCGCCGCCGCGCTGCTTCCGGGGCCGCCCCCGCCGCGCCCCGCCCCGACCAGCCGCGCCGGGCCGAGCGCCGAGCGGGCGATGGGCGGCGGGGCGGGGGTTTGAAGGAGCGGCGGCGGCAGCCGGGCAGGTAAGGACGGGCTGGGGGTGGCCCGGGCGGGGACGCAGTTGCCGCCGGGTGGGGAATCGGGGTGCGGTCAGTTTTGGGGGACCGCGGGAAGGAGTCGTTCCTCGAGCGCTGCGGCGGGCGGGGGTCTGCCCACGCGTGGGTCTGGAGCTCCGCGGTACGGCTGGGGGCGGTGTGCGGGGACCGGCCGTCCGTCGGGGGCTGCTTGGGTAGCTGCCGGGGCTGGCTCCGGCACCGGTGAAAAGTTCCCGGTGGCGCTGGGGAATGAGAGCGGGCACCGGGAGCGGTGCGTGCCCTTTCGGCACTCGCCGGGGAGCGGCGTGCGGCAACCCCCGTCCCAGCCGGGGACTGCCATGGGCACCCGGGTCGCTGCTTGCCCGGCAGTGGGGAGCCTCGCTCCGCACCTGGCGAGGGCTGTGCGTGGGGAAGGGTGAGGTGTGACCGGGGAGGCAGGGACAGCCCCGCTCCGCTCGGGGCTGAACGGCCCGTGCGCATTCGCTGCTTGCGGAGCAGGGGAGGTGCTGCCCTGGGGGCACGGAAAGGTTGGGGGGCCTCGGGGACGGGGCTTTCATCCTCGCGTCCGTGCATGACAGTGTCTGTCCCCGCCCGGGCCCGGGGGGACCGGAGCGGGCAGCAGAAGGGCGGCGGTCGAGCCGTGCAGGGGGGCTCTCCTGGAGCCCACGCGGGACTCGCGCGGCCCCGCCGCGCTCGGTGTTTGCCGCACCAGCACGGCTGTCCCCGCTCTCCCCGCTGGCAGGCGACGGGAGGCGCGGGGCCCGCCTGGCTGCAGCCTGTTGCAGAAGTGGCTCCAGCCTGTGCCCGGTCCCGCGACCTTCCTCCCGCCGTGCCGTGCCCTGCCCCGGCTCTGCCTCCCGCTCGGCCGAGGCAGCCGGCCAGCGCCGCTGCCCGCAGCCGGGCATGGCTCCGCACGCTGCC